AAGCTTGAAATAGCTTACTTCTGTTTTCCCACGCCATTTTGAATTCTATACAAGGTCTAACATCGATTAAACCTTTGTTAAATTTTTCATGATTTTTTTTTGTAAATAAAAGAAAATAACAATATCAATGTCCAACAAAGCCTTTATTGAGGATTTTTTCTTTTATTCACACTAATGATTTTGAAGGTTTGTCTCAAGTGGTTATTGATAGTGAAGTGGTTGGGAAATGATAATCACACTAAGGACTTAGAGAAAAGCCATGATGAACACTAGGTGCCAAGTGGCTAATATCATCCATGGCTGAGTAATTTTATGGAAGCTACTGGCCCCAGGGATGTACCTGATAGCCTTTTTGAAGGTGGATTATTTCATCTATTTATAAATGACAAAATAATAACTTTATTTGTCAGACAAATATGCTAGTCAGGTGAAAGAAAGAGTAAACAAATGCTAGTGTCTACTCATGTAAACACATGGAAGGATGTCACTTTTGACAAAATGAAAGCCATTTTTCGTCTTATTGCACCCGGGAACTTCACAAGGAATAATAAAAGTTAAAGTATGTTAATGCATTTGTTTTTATTTTGTGTTTTCAATTTTTTTTTTTTTTTTTCAACGTCAAAACATTACTCATCCGTTCTTTTATTAGTATACAAAAAAAATGAAATCTATACACAAAAAAAATTTTATAACAATTTTAAAATAGTAAGTGCTCATGTTTTTGTGCCCTCAAGAAAAAAATACTGTGGTGTGGCAGGGGGTACAATTCTAGAAAGAATTTAGCTGGGTAAAGGTTAATACTATTTGCTAAAAACACTATTATCCTAACAGAAATAGTGATTGAAAATTGTTAAGCAAAGAGAGCCTTGTTTTGTAAAGGATACCTTAAGATAAGGGCAGTTGAACATGGAGAGATTAGATATATTGAGGTCAATTTTGGTGTGGTGGTCATCTATATAAACCAGGCCCCAGACACAGAAGGAGAGTTGTGCCCAACAAACAATTGTCAGAGATTTATCAAGATTGCATCATAAGACAGCTGTCAGCTTTGGCCAGAGCTAATACAGACACACACACATGACAGAAGTATTTGGTGAGAGTTAACTGGCTTGTCATTGCTTTAAAAATTACTGCTAGATTTCTCAGTTCATCATCTAGTGAGGGGTAGACATAGTTCTACTATAGATAATAAAGCTTTTTTTTTTCTATTTAATAAACTTGTTAGTTATCAAGTGTTTATCATTGTGGTACACGATGTACATATTCAGTCCATCACTAGACTTCACCATCAATCTCAATATTGTAACATTTTGGGAAACCTGAATCAACCCTAATGGGCCCCAACTAAGAAGGTAAAGAAAGCCGGCTAGCTTGCGAGGTTACTTAATAAGTTAGCAACTGAGGATGAGACAGAGATGAGGGTTACACTTGTTTCTTAATATATGTTGTAATAGATTGTTGAACTGTTGTGCGCAATCAGTCCAGTTGCCTCACAGATGAAGAGATTTTGAGACAACAAAGATAATGTTCTACAAGAGGATGCTGAAAATACAATGGGTGGAGCTATAAGCAAGGAAAAAGGAAATGAAAAAAGATTTAGAATCAGACAGTTTAAATTTCAAAGATACATCACGAGAAAAGAATGGTTAGTAAATTTGACACTCGCGGAACATCTTGAAGGTAAGAGGGATGGGAGTAAACAATAAATACCTTGCCTAAAGAGTTTGTGTAAATGGGTGATAGAACAGGGAATGGGTAGTGCAGTAAAAAGATAAACATTGCTAAGAGCTACAAATAATTGGAAGTTGTGGATAACCATGATCACCCACACTCTGAAGGGACACAGCACATAGAAGAAACATACACTTTCTGACAGGCAAAGTAATATAAATCAGAAATTGTCTGAAAGCATAAAGCTGCTTGGCATATTTTTTTTTTTTATTTTTTTTTTTTATTTAAGTGTGTACAAAAGTTTCAATAGTAAAAGAACTGGTTTTCAAGTGTGCATTCAAAAAGGTATGCTGGAAAATATAAATTCTTATCAACTTTCCATAAAGATACCCACAAGCTATATATATATATATATATATATATATAATTAAGCAACAAATGTCTTTTAAAAGTTTGCTTCATGTTAGGAATAAAATGGGTTTCTGATTCGATATTACAAACATTTTTGCTGGAATATTTTCAGGGATTTTTCTTTATAAAATTATAAAAAACTTATTTGGTATCAACTCCCCAATTTTTTAAATATTAACAGTGTATTGAAATAGAGCAGTAGCTGACCCCACCACCAAATATTTCTAGAAAATTTTCTATTAAAATAACCTCAATAGGTAAGAGGGTGTTGATGTAGATTAAGTCTAATTTGGAAAGAGGAAAACTAATAGAGGAAGAGAACACCAAGGACAGTAGCTATTTGGTGGAACTGAAAGAGACTCTGGGAAGGTGTTTTATTCAATCAATTGCAGATAAGACAACATCAACACTGTTTCTAAATATTGAAGAACATATTTTACCAGGACATACATTTCTGATGGTTGGCTGCCATACAGTTGTATCCTCCAAATCCCTGATAAAAATTAGACATTCTTTAATTGTACATGTGATGAAATCTGTGGCGCAATTGTGACAAGTTTTGTGACAATGTTCTCCAATTGTCTGTCGTTCACTGCACCTGTGATGACATCCAAGGTTGAGGCTATTTGCATATACACATAACTTGCTATGTGCACAGGTTTGTTTTCTCGGCCATGATTGCTTTCAACCAATAATACTAGTGACGACAAATGTTTTTAAAGACAAGAAAACTATGTCCGCCCAATGAATATTGAGTGTTTATGGTCTTGTCTAACGTTAAAAGAATATTTGGTTCATGGTAAGAGATGCTCTGAACCTATTTTAGTGAACTCCTGTGGTAGGAGCAAATGAAAGACGTGTTTGGAAAATGCAATTTTTCAAAATTTATAATTACGGTTACTCATCACTGTGTTTTTCTTTTTTACATTTATGACATTTTTAATAAATTTATCAAGAAAATACTTATTTACATATTTATTTCTTTATAAATTTATAAATAATAAACATTTACATTTTATTAGTTTGCATTTTAAGAATGTTGTAAATATGAAATTACTTTTGTAAATATTGCAATAAATAAATAGCGTTTAATATTTTTATTGTAAATTCTCAAAGAACAAAGAAAATGTATAAATTCAATTTCATATGTTTGGTCTTTATTAAAATTCTAATCATTGCTTTTTAAAACAACAAACATTGCCAAAGGATTGAAGGTAGGTAAAATTGGCAATGTAGTCGATGGTTTACATATTTTGATAATTTGATTTTTTTAATTTCTAAATAAAAAGAATTTTTTTTTTTACATTTTATTTCTGTATAAAATGGTAAATAATAATATCTATAAAAGTTAAATAAATCCTCTAAATAAACATTGCTGAGGGTGTGAACATACTTACATAATAGTGGCATCAATGGAAAAATTGTCCTTTTCAGACACCATTTACCTTACATGTTTGCTAAAAAACAAAAATGTGCACTTAATATTTTACAAAAAATTACTTGTAATATTTCAGTGCGATTTTGAAATTTGTCCCTTTGCTGTTTGTCACAAGAATATTTTTTTAAATAAAGACAAGTTTGAAGATTAAAACAATGTAAAGTTTAATCCCATTTTTTGAGTGAGCTTTTTTTTTTTTAAAAGAATTTTATTTTATTTTTGTAACTGTTAGATTATTTTTGTTATGGATGTAAAAAGAGAAATAATACTGATTTCTCGACTTTGACCATTCTACCATGCTCTCATAAAAGCATATAGAAAAAAAATGTATTCTGAAATTATTGGTTATAGGATTATGTAATTTTACAAATAAAAATAAAGACATCACTTGAATGACAATGAATAATTAAGAAAGAACTGAAGACAACATCATCAATTCAATAACTATCACTTTTGCCCATTATTTTATACATTTTCTTAAATTCAGAATTATTTAAAAATGTAATTATTGGGTGTAATTATATAAGGCATAAAATATGTAAGAAAATAAAAAATAAAAGCAATGAATTAAACTCAAAAATATAATTTAGGTAGGTAGGTTGCCATTTCTTTTTTTGATAAACTGGTTGCCAACCAAGGCTGTCCCTGCTATTCAGTATTTATTAGATTTTTAAAAAAATTTTTAATTTGTTGTTTGCATTTTTCGTCTATAGTGGCGGTTCAAAAAGTAACGAGAAGATGCGCCAATGTTTTAAAAATGCCTAAAAACTTATTTCTTTTAATACGGGTTAGCTTTCCTTTATCTTTCAAATAAAATCTAAATTTAACTTCAAAGACAATTATTTAAGATGTGTTCCCTTATTTTTTTTTTTTTTTTTAAATATGTGGTGGTACCGATTTATTAGCAGTTGTGTAATTCAGCATGTTTATCTTAAAAAAAAATATTACAAGTTTACTTTATTTAACTAAGATTTGTGAAAATGTCAATTTTCTTTGAAAAGAAAATTACAATTTTATTTAAAACAGTACTTTTATTAAAATTTTAGCAAGTTAGTGTTGAAGATGATATGCCAACGGATAGGTGACGCATAGTTGTGTTTTCTTTTTTTTATCTAAAAGAAAAAAAAAATAATGCTAAAAAAGCTAAATATAATTTTCTCAAAATGACCATATTGTGATTTTACAAAGATCATTTTAAAAATTCTTAACCAGGAAATTTAATTTACGACGATATCGTAAAATATTTCTTGTTAGTGTTATATAATTTAACACTTCGGAAAACAGTTTATTACTGTGCTTAATTAGGTATACCATATTTGGCTATATGACCAAAAAAAAAAGTGATAATATAATTTCTTAGTGCATTTCAATAGACTTTAAAGGTCAATCGCGCGTCCGGAGTGAATTAAAGTCTCGCGTGATTTTACGAGATTCGACGAGAACGGGTGTTGCTATATTTGGTTTTATACTTTTTCTCCAGATTTAACACTAGAAGCAGAAATGGCTAACCACCGTTATCCGAATACGAACGATGACCCACCAAACAGTCGTTTGTTTATTATTGCTGGCAAAGGAATATCTGAGGATGAATATCATAAATGCTTCGGAAAATATGGTACTATCCAAGATGTTTGGATCGTCAAAGATCGACAGACAAGCGAAGAAAAAGGTACGTGTTTTTGTTCAGTCTGGCTTCGGCAATGTGAATTTTTCTTGTTAAGGTGTAGGTGTTCTATTGTTTTTCCGGCTTATTTTAACTCTAAGAAACTATAGCATCCGAGTTCTGTTTTTTTTGTTGTTTTGTTTTAATGATAAATTTTATAATAGTATAAGGAAATGTTTTTAATTTTAAATTCTTCCTCTAGCTACATTGAAAGATGAGAAAATTGATTCATTCGTCTCATTTTTTTGATTTTTCCCGTATTTACAATTTTGTTTCCGATGAAAGTATTCTCGTCTCTCAATGAAATATGACAGCAATCAGCTGAGCCTTATATTTAGTTGATTATATTGTTTGTAAACGAAACAACATATTGATATACAAAACTAGAAATTAGATCATTTAAGAAGAGATTTTAAACTGGTGCCGCCATTTTGAATGAAAAGTGGTGTCGTGAAATTGGTAGAAAAGCGTAATATATTTGTATTTATTTTCTTAGTTATTAAAGTGTATGTTTATTTTATTTTCTACTATAATTGTTAATAATTAGTAAAATATTTCGTTATAGGTGTATCTTTCAAAGATTTATACATCCGAATACGTCGTTGTTGACACTTGCAAAAAATACGCATTTACATAAGCATATTAGCATTTTTTTAATTCAAATCTTTTTTTACTTAAATAAACAAACAAAAAAACATTGTTTTACCAAGTAAACTTTAGCATTTACTCAAAAACTACAAATAGAAATTAGTGATAAGGAAGTAGGTGTTCTGTTTTATTTTTTCAAAATTTGAAATCCTGGTAAAGGTAAATAATTAATAATTAGTTAATCCGAATCGAGTCTTCACATCAATTTGAAAGACTTTCCTTTATCAAACGTGACTTCCCCCTCGCAAATTTTGATGTACGGTATAATTTTCAAGATCTTAATTCTACCATTGAATATTTTTATAAATGAAAACGTTTAATTTTTAAACTTTAAAGTATTAAAAAATAAACGAAACGCTTAATAGCTTAATTAATTGGCAGTTGTTTAATTTATAAATATCTCGAGCTGTTGTCGAAAATTTCTTAAAAACCGATCCGTCATCTAGCATAGTACCCATAAAAAAAAAGAACAAGATTAGTTACTAATGGAACGATACTTTGTAATATTCAAAATTAATAATAAGAATAGTTCGTGTATAAAAACAGGCTCGAGAAAAAATCTGTAAAAATAAAATCTAAGATTAGAAATATGAACGTTTTATAAAACGGATCATGTAGAAAAAGAATAAGTAAATTTAACAAAAACCTTCCAGTTATTATTCCCTGAACACATAAATGTGACTTTGCAACAGGCTGCAGTCGGTCAACTCAATGTCAGCTCATTTACATGTCCATGCTAAATGACTCCCTTTTCCCAGAAAGCAACTAATGATCAAGAAACTCACTAATAACCAAAACTACATGCATGGCAGTTTCTACTTCCTTATTTATTACAGACAGCACAGAAGTGTACTGTTTGTAATGACATGCTAAAACATATGTACTTTGTCTATCAGACTCCTGTCTATTTCCGTGAACATTTTAAATAATAAAACTTTAAGAAATGAAAACACATCCTTACATGAAAAAGTGATTTAAATAAATTCCATCTTTAAATTTTATCACAATAATTAAAAGTTTATTATACTAATTGTGATGATGTCTAATTACAAATGCTACTATAAAATGATGAGTTTTGAAAAAGAACATTAAATGCAACTTTTCTCATAGAAGGCATTTTGTTTCAACTGAGTTGTCACATATATGGTGATATGTATATGTAGGTATGTCCATTAGGTCACGTAAAAAATCGGCATATCACGATTAAAAATGACTCATAAATCAACGAAAACAAAGTTTTGTTTATGTTATGTTTATGTTGTTATGAAGAGGAAAGACCAAAGTATATTTTAAATATTTTTTGAAATTTTTTACTCCTTTCTAGCACGTAGAAAATTTTGCTTAAAAATTATGTTTTTTTTTACGACAGCGCGACAGTACTAAAAAAAAGGTTTGTTTTATTTTTTGCTTTTCCGCGGAAAACACACGTTAATTAGGAAATTCTTGCAAAAATCAAATAATTGTTGGATTTTAATGAAATTTTCAGGACTTATTCAGAAATGAATGAAATCTTTTGGGAATTTTTTTTTTTCAAAAAAATCTTGTTAAAAAGAGATTTTTTTAAAACATGTTTCCACCCACTTACATATTTTCAAGAAATTTCAAGAAATTAAATACGCACGCCCGATTTTTTTTATTAGTTATAAACAGGAATGTTTGTAGAAAGTAAATCACCAGTTTTTTTTTTAAAACATTTAATTCTTTTATAGAAAAATCAAATTTGAATTGTAAAAAAAAAAATGTAAAAAAAGTATGACATTTAATTAATTAGAAAAGCTTACACCTGTTTTTGTAGATACGTTATATTAAGGACATTATTTTGTGAAGAAATAAAATTTTTCGATGAATAATGTATTTTTTTGCAAATTTTTTCCACATTTTAAAATTTTTTCATTAACGTCTTAAATACTTCAAAAATCTTTTAAAATTCTTTTATTTCTTTCACCCAAATAATGCAATGATAACGTTAATGAAAATGTAAATTTACAAATCGAACTTTGAAAAGCACATAACGGTCGTTTACACACAAAATATTTTTAAAATAATTTTAAAAAGAAATTTTTATTGAAAAACGTTCATAATTTCTATGTATGGAAATGTATACGCGACATAATCCTTAAAAGGTCACGTGATTTGTGTCGTCTGGCACCGCAGTTATTTCACTCCTCTGTCCAGTTCAGATACACATCGTTAACGTGTTTGCAGAAATTAATAAAAAAGTTTAAAGAATTATCTAAATAATAAAAAAAAAAGAATTATCTAAATAAAAAAAAAAAAGTTTAAAGAATTATCTAAATAATAAAAAAAAAGTTTAAAGAATTATCTAAATAATAATAAAAAAGTTTAAAGAATTATCTAAATAATAATAAAAAAAGTTTAAAAGAATTATCTAAATAATAATAAAAAAAAGTTTAAAGAATTATCTAAATAATAATAAAAAAAAGTTTAAAGAATTATCTAAATAATTAAAAAAAAAAAGTTAAAGAATTATCTAAATAATAAAAAAAAAAGTTTAAAGAATTATCTAAATAATAAAAAAAAAAGTTAAAGAATTATCTAATTTTATTGCCATTATTATAGAGTTTTGTCCCTTTATTCTAATGAAACTAAAAAGCGTTCACTCAGATTTTTAATAATTTTCATTGGGGCCATCCGTAGTAGCTGTCGTCACTCGTCCTCAACACGTAGATCAAATATTGGATAAAAACACCAGTACCAATCGTTAATAATTGGTTGTACTACTTTTTATGCTAGAAGTAAGTAATAATTCTTTTAAATCAGATTAATTTAACATTAAATTTTCTAATTTTACTAAAATAACGTGTCAGAAACTTTGTTAAATATTTTTAAAATCGATAAATTTGTGTTTGTTTACAAATTTCTTAAAATTAAGAAAATGGCGGGATTTTTAAGAAAATTTAAAATTCCAATACTAAATTTGACATTCCAATGTATATAGTTTCTATCTGAAATACACCAGAATTATTTACTTAATGGAAATAATAAATTTAATGATTAAACTTTCAATTAAAGCTAAAATGAAATCTTAAAGCATGTTTTTTCATTTTTTTAAATTTATTTTAAAGTTAGGTATCGAAAAAAAAGTGGAGGTCCCTAGTATATGTAATTAAAAATGGTTGAATATGTGAATTGTGTATCAGTTGATATTCAAATGCAATATGAAACAAAATTCAGATTTTATGGAGATAAGCAGATGGGTGGTTTTCTATACAGGAGGTACAATTTATTTTGGAGTTATTAGCACTTCTTTATTATTGATTTGTCTAGTGAAGTTGTAAAAATTCCTCCTTCAAACAAAATGTTTAGAAAGATGCAAAAAGCCATATTCCGGTTTTTGCTGAAACCAAATTTCTGCAGGCAAATTTAAAGCAGCATGTGCAGATTTTAAAAAACTTGAGAATTCCAGAATTATCTCACAAAATATTTTCAAAATCTAACAATCACTACTAATTCTATCATAATGACTGCACTGATTAGCATTATACAAAGTGATTGATATTGTATACCAAATAGTTCATTTACCTTTTAAACTTGAAATATACCTAACTTCAGCTTAATAGGATTCAAATGTGCACATCATAAGAAATATAATTATAAGCCTTTTAAATTAAAATATATGCCAATCAGCATTTCATTGTGGCCAAAAATTATGAGGACTGTATTTAGGTAATATCCTTGTATTGTATGATGATGAAACAGCATATACAGGTGAGATTTAGATAGTGTTTATAATTTTAGATGCAAACTATTAGAATTTTGTCAAAAAGTATTTTTAAAGTTACCAATTTAGAAATTTTTGGGTTACAATGTGCATATTGAAGAGCTTTTACTCTTTGATAAAATTTGAATGAATTAAAATCTTTTCTTTGTCCAAAAGATCCTAAGGGTTTAAATATATTTTTGTGTATGACAGCTTTTATCACAAACTTATCCGTGATTAAACCAAAGTTTTCCTGCTTCTTTCTCTCTGAACAATTGATATTATTTCTCAACTGTTCTTTCAATTTAGCCAAAGACTTTTAATTTGTGCAACAATTTACTGATGTAACTCTACCCTAATTCACCTACGATTTGAGTTTTCTGGCTATCAATTAGTTACAGTCATCACTATGCTGTTGATATAGCATTACATTAAGAAATTGGCTACTGATTCTTATTGGTTCCTTTTTGCAAAAAGTTCAATTCTTGCAATGTGTTTTACTTTTGACAGAATTGCTAGCAGCTTATTTAATAGTACTTGCTACACTTTTGCCACCTCATTAAATGTCAACATGTGATTTTATTGACCATAAAATGTTATGCAGTGTTTTACACAGTTTAAACCCAGTAAAATTGGT